CCCCTTTTTTTTTTTTTTGTGGGGGGAAAAACCCCGGCGTTTTGCAAAAAAAAAATTTTGTTTTTTTTTCCGGGGGCCTTTAGGGGAATGGGGGCCCCTTTGTTGGGTTGGGTTTTGGGGGGGGGGCCCCCCCTTCCCCGTTTTTGTTTTGGGGGGGGGGGGGCCCCCCTTTTGGCCCCCTTCAAAAAACCCAACGCCCCCGGGTTGCCCCCCCCCCCCGGGGGGTTGGGGGGGTGGGTTTGCGCCCCCCTTTTTTTTTTTTTTCCCCCCCCTTTAAAGGGGAAGGATTCCCCTGGGCTGGGTACGGAAACCCATTGGGAAAGTTTTTGGGGTTCCCCCCTTCCCCCATTTTTGCCCCCAGGGGGGGGGGAAACCCCGGGGGGCCTTTCCCCCCCCCCCCCCCCCCCCCCCCCCGGGCACCCGTGAACCGCAGCAGTACAGCAAACCGCCTGCTGCAGGGGAAAGACAAATCATCTTACAACCAAACACCACGGACGACAAATTCGCACGAGCCGATTCTTAGACTGTAGCCCATGACCAAAAAAGACATGTACGGTCACATGCCCCCCCGGTAGCACCTGCCTTACCTAAAACACAGAAATACACCACCAAATGAAATAAATAAGGACAAAATGAAACATGGATACACACGTCGGGCCCGTCCGAAAAAGGACGAAAACCTGCTGCTCCTATGACGGCCATTGCGGCGCTTGCACACGGAGAAGCCGTTGTACACCAGCATCACAGCTGCCCGCAGCCTACTGCACCCCCAACCCTTCGTGTGCTCTATGCGCGCGGGTCAAACGTCCTCATCGGGGGACGATGAAAAAACGAGACGTCCGCGGTGACTACAGATAGATCCCACACCATGCGACACACGTAAAGCTCCTACTACCTAGATACGACGACAGACATTGTTACGGTGCAGACAGACATCACGGTGCTCGTGGTTTTTTCCCTACTGGGTCTATCACTGATTTTGTCGCCATCAATCCCCCTGGCTGAAACGCCGGTTCTAACAGCCATAACATACTCGAAAAATGGCATACACCCGTTCCTCTTGTTTCGCCACGACTTGTGTCAACACTCCAAACACGATTTTTAGTTACCAAGGCTTACACACGTTTAGCAATACTTTTTGATGGCAACAAAATTGGGTCGGGAGTGCTCGGCTCTCCCCCCCTCGCTCAAAATGTCCAGACAGCAGTCTACAGGGGTGAAAAACAACGGGTGCATACCAACGACCAACGACCCTTTTGCTTTTCTATGCGACATCCTTTCTTTGGGACCTTCGCCCTACCAGGCTCATCCTACACTTCGCCCGCTGGTCTGTGCGCACATCCATCCACTGACATAAAAACAAGTGACACCAATCACCTCCTTCCCTCCGACGGGAATAAACGTTCAGCCCACCTCTTGCCCCAGAAATATACACGAAAAATGTCACCCGCATGACAAAAAAAAAAAAAAAATGCGCACGCCGCATCTAAAGCACCCTCTAGCAGGTCGAGCTCGGCAAAACAGCCATGCGCAATGCCCCCCCCCCGCCTTGCTCTCGGCACCTCCGCGTCTCCCGTCTAAAGCCGGCCTCTTTCTCCCTCCTAGCTTTTTCTCGATCGACCAGCGGGGCGCTAACCAATCGTCGGGCACAAGTTAGGCGCTCTCCTCAGTGCTACGCGACTAGTATGATCTACATGTGTTCGTCTGGTTCTATCTGCATGACCCAAGGAAATCGAGAGCCCGCCCCCGCGGTAATGATGGGCACGGGGGCGGAATCACACAATAGAACACGCGATGTGGCTTTTCCTCGACCTCATCGTACAGAAAACAAGAGAAACAAAAAGTAGGACATAACGAAAACAAAATTACATTTTTTGGTAACATGACAGCACGAAAGGATATTACTAGGCAAAAAAAAAAAAAAACGAAAAAAATAACAAAAAACATTTCGTCCTCTCGTTGTCGGCACCGGCCGAAGAAAAAAAAAAAAAATTAAGGCTCGCGAAGCATGCGGCAATGCTGAACACGGGAGGAACGGGGCGCAAAACAGAGAAGGGAACAAGATCGAATCGAAAACGCAAGCCGAATCGCATCCAAAACTCGAAAAAGTTCCCCGTGTTGCACACAAGCGTCCGAGGTGCTTGGAATGCAGCACGTACAGTTTACACTACTACATGATCGGCAAGTATAGTCTAAGCTACACAAAATAAAGGGGGGAAAGGCAAGCGCAATAGACAGGGAACAAACACCAGAACACACAGCGCCTGGCATACCGAGGGAAAAAATAAGTGCTTGAGTAGCACGTCAAGCGAAGGTGGGCCTGTTTTTCGCGTTCAGGCGTGGGCGCCGCTGCAGCATCCGCTCCCGCTGCCGTTGGTGCTGCTGCTGCTGCTGTAGGTTCTGCTGATGGTGCTGCTGGCGACTTCGTCGTGGTGGTCATGGTCATGATCGTCGTTGTGCTCGCAATCCCCGCCCTCCACCTGCTGCTGGTCGTGGCCGCCCTCTCCCTCTACCGGAACCATCTTGCGACAGCACCCCCCCCCTGGCCCCCACTCCGCGTTTTCCTTCCACACCCTGCTGTCGCCCTCGTATACCTCCTGAGAGAGGGCGGGGGACGGGGAGAGAGACAGAGAGTCAGGGGGTACATGTGTACGAGATAGTGCCGGAGAGACACAAACACACACACACACACAGAGAGAGAGAGAGAGAGAGTCTGTGAAAGCGAACGAAAAACCGAGAATGATCCAAAGAAACAAAAGCTCGCGAAAGAGGCAAAGAAGTGCCGTCAGAAAGATCATTCAGCAACTCGTGTCGGGTGCTGCCAGTGCCAAATAACGACCGACGGATACCTCCGCGCAGAGACATGCATATGCCACCAAAGGACAAGAAAAAAAAAAACATGCTGAGGTTTCGTCATTTCGGGAAAGATCTCGATAGGCCTCACCATACACGCAGAGCGTGCGTGCGAAGACGGATACGGGAGTTCCAAAATATTCAAGGCGGTCGGGCCGAGAAAGTAAATTCGTCCCGTGTTACTGAGCGAGCGGGAGGAACACAAACACACAAAAAAAAACTCGTGAACTTGAAACGAGGAAGGGAATGAACAAACACAATCAAAATCAATGGCAGGGTATCAATCGCTACGAATCAACCTTGGCGCCGAGATTTTCAAGCGCACAAGGGGGGTAAAAAACACAACTCACCAGCTTCCAGATCGGGACGGTGGCTTTGAGCGTGTTGATCGCGAACTCGACGGCCTCCAGGGAGTCCTTCCTGTGCACCGACGACACTGCGATGATCACGCTCGCCTCCCCGACCTCCGTCACCCCGAGGCGGTGCACCAGGGCGATCTTCAGGATGTCCCACCTGTCTCGCACCTGCAAGGGGGAGGGGTGACGTGGGATGAGGATGGGGGTGGGATGAGTCAGTGGAGGGAAGCAACCAAACAACTTGGATCACCCATATATATACCTCGTGAGAGATAATTCACGATTTCCCCGCACATGAGCACACGCTACCGATGTTTTTTCATCACTTCTGGGCTCTCTAGGCTTGGGTGCGCTGGGGAGGGGGGTGAATTCAAGAATAGAGAGTGCAGAGGGACATCATCAGTATTAAATGTGTTGCAACTCGGAGTACATTACCTGAGCGCAGATTTTCTTGAGCTCGAGCTCCGCCATCGGCACGTAGCCCTCATACTCCAGGCGCACGACCTTCTTCCCTGGAGTCGGGTGTCGCATGCATGCGTGGGAGGCGGCGGGGGTGAGCGCTGGATGCTTATTTGGTGCCCGAGTTATAGAAATGCTTCAACAAACCATTTCTCCTCGATAGTGCGTAACGTACCGCGATGAATAACAGCAACCCGCGTGCATACTGTAGCCGGGGTTTGACAAACTTTTAGGAGGGGGGTTCGACGTGTTGCGGGTGCTCCCGTGCGCGTGCACACGCCTGAGAGATGGATCGCTCATGAGTCCCTCCGCCGGAGGCTCCGCCCTTCCGTCCGTGTCTTGGGACGGAACAAAGGAATGCCTCGTTGCACATCTTGAGCGCTGCATGCATACCTTGTCGTGCATCCACGGCGTCTTTTCTTCCGAACATGGGTGTTGTACGACTCGCTATTGCATGCGAAGAGTACACGTAAAAACACACATACTTCGTGCATTTTTAATCCCTCTAATACTGCTTTTAATTGGTTAGCCGGTTAAGCGTGATCGGTGCTTACTGAAACACGCCTGAGTAAGCGCCACCGCAATTACTCTGAACTGAAACACGCCTGAGTAAGCGCCACCACAATTACTCTAAAGACACATTAATTCAGCAGGCAATGCAAATAGAAGAACTTGACCATGACAACAGGGGCTCTCAGCCAAGAACCCTACACAAGTACACAAATTAATACTGCAGTCCATGGTACCCAAACACGGAAAACTTGTGGGGGTGCCGCGCTCTGTACTTTGCCTCTGCTGTTTATTCGTTGCGGGGGCGGACGACTTTGCGGAATTTCCGGCGGCAAAAACTTTTTGGGAGGGTGATTGAGTTGGACGACACAGCAGTGTCCTGCTGCTAGAGTAAGGATAAGACTCGTGTGTGCGTGATTGATGTCAAGGGCATGTCTGTGTGTGCTGGTCCTGCCTCTCCCCTCCACCCTCTCTGCGGGCGCGAGCTCGCCGCCAGCACAGCGCCACACATTGGCACATGCATATGCATGTCAACCATGCTGGATCGGTCTTGCTTTCATAGCGTGACCCGTGCATCTCGCATATAGACTGCAGCAAGCAGTAGTCTACGGGGTATTGTACGCGTGTGTGCATGTTTCCAAACGGAACAATTGTGCTGGGGTGTTGCCGGGCCATTGTTGATTTTGAGCGGAAGAGTTGATGGTTGGTGTTGTTTCGCAGGGGCGGAAACTGGTTCCTGCCCCGTCGCCATGGTTGTTATTCGGCGGGAAGATTCGCCGTTTGGTATCCCATGGTTGGAGGGGAAATGATTGATGAAAGGGTCTCTTTTCCCGTCAGGTCAGGGTACATTTCCGAAAACAGGGTACAGTTGCTGAGAAAAGTAGTCACGGCAGGGTATACCCTGCGCCTTTTCGGACGCAGCGGGGTGAAATAGGGTTGCGCTGACCAATGATATGAGTGCATTTACTGCTGCTAATGACTGTGTACCCAGGTGTGTCGCTTTTCGACCAGGGTATATACCCTGTTGTGTCGTTTCCCCCCAAAAAAATCGATGCGGCATCAGCCCGAGTCACCTAGGCCAAAAAACTCAACCCCACCTACGATATGGCAGTAGTAATCTTCTTCCGGTGATATTCTTTTTTTTTTTGTCGTAACTTCAAATCAGCGCTCACAGCATTTGCGCCGTTTCCTCCAATCCGTGCTCACAAACAAGGGTTCCTCTCCCTGAGGCCCCCTACCGTACCCACCCCTTCTGCGGTGCTTTGCCTTCGATTTTTCATGCGAGAAGAGCGCAGCGCTCCCTTCCCTCTGTGTACACACGAACTTACGTAAGCGAGAGAAAAACTCATTTTGCAAGAAAAGCTCACTTGCGCGCCGGGTTTCGAATCTCTGACCCTGGCCACTAGAAGTTTAGGTAATCGAGCTACCAACTAGACTACGGGGGCAACCGGAACTGAATATACAAAATTTGCCAAGAGGCAGGCATAAAAGTCCGCATGTATGTCCGCATGGATGCCGGAGAAAGGTTCAAGGAAAGTTTCACAGGCGGGGTACGCGGCAAAAAAAAAACAAAGGGAATTCGGCGTAGGCAAGAACAATTGCAAAGAAGGGGGTACCAGGTACACTGCTGTAAATATCTACTGGTAAATAATGAAAACGCATACGTATTTGTATGCATAGCAAATTAGACCGGCGTGACTTGCATCGGGCATGTCATGAAGGTTGGATTGGAACAACCCGAGCAAGGAAACGAACACTTCTTGCTTGTACAGGGGAAGCACAGCAGCAGGCGGCACGGGAACAGAAGACCCCTACCAGAGCTCTGATCACACGAGCCAGCCAGTTGCGGCGAGGCACCGTGCTGTACAGCTGCTTCACACTTGTATTGTTGTTCTGACAAAGAACTCAATGATTCCATCTCTTCCACAGATGCAAAGAACTCAATGAGCCCATCTCTTCCACAGATGCGAGTCCTTTGCTTTCAATTCTAACATGGAGTTTTTCTTCTTGCTCAGTGGTGTCTACCTTTGATCAACCATCTCCAGAACGTGCGCGTGTGTTCACTTCAATCAACGCTCACAGCACTTGTGCCGTGGACTCCAACGCGTGGACACGCAGTTTCGCGCTACCCACCCCCCCTGCGGTATCTACTTTGCCGTGTGCAGCACGAAAAGTAGACTAAACGGCTTGTTGTGTTTGTTGTTGTCTCCGCATTGTAGAAGCCGTTCCGGTCTCTGCTCAGCGCAAAACGTTCCAAACAATTCGAACAATTGCTGTGTCCTGGTCCTCTACCTGAAACGTACGCCTTCCGTGGTAACAGGTAAACTATACACACAAGAGGATGCACAACTGGTGGCGTGCGCTATTTACCTACTGCTGTCAACGATGGGACTTCGGTACTTTCCTCCAAAACATCCCGCGGGTATTAAACGCCGCTGTTTTTCACATGGGTCACTAATATTGCTTAGCGTCGAGAGTCCACAGATGGAATGGCTGTACACGCGCGCGCCTCAAACGGTCTTTAGAAGCGCTCTCTGTTTTCAGCCGCACTTCGATGATGATTGTTCCATGGTCAACCAGTATATTGTGGTGGATGAAAATTACCATTGAAAATGTTGAAGACCCCCCCCCCCACTCCCATACTCCCATATTCCATAGAGACGTGTTGTACCGATGTTTTCCCGCCTGTGGGTTAAAATAAGCGGGCTTCTGTGCCAGCCAGCCGGCAGCAGGCGTGAAGGATGGGCCCCACACGTCGAGTTGGATGACGTACTGTTATTCTTCCTCCCCCGACGCCCCACCGTCAAAAGTATCGCCGGCTTTCCGCCACGCCACGAGCTGCGCGGTGCACAAGCACAAACACCAAGGCTACCCACAGCCGCGTGTGCTATACCATTGACTGCCGCTGTGTGCACATTTTTCGATGTCTGTCGCAATTTCGTCATATTTTTTCCATGAGGTTCTATTTGCCCCTGTTGATCATCGCGCCGACTCCATGTGGTTAAAATCTCGAAAATAGAACACCCGACCAACCAAGTACCCAACATCTTCCTTCTGCACCTTCCCAGCATAACATACAGATAGATGCACAGGACGGCCACCACACTGTCTTGTTGAGCCTGTTACCCACAGGGGAGATATCACTGTGTGCTGCTCGGGAAACCGTGGTGGCTCTCGCAATGAATTCATTGCTAATCTATCTTTGAAATGGATCCGTTGGGCCATATCCAGAAAAAAAAAAAACATCTTGATCATGGTTACAAAATATCACTCTGTATTTTCAGGTCCAATTTTTCCGATGCTGATGCTGCCGCTCTCGTTCAATGCTCAAGGTTGAACACGCATTTGTTGAAACAAGTCACGTGCATACGCATATGCACACATACTGCTGTCGAATTCTAGAGACCTGCACTCGCGGAAAAGATGGCACACAGCATTACCATTTACTGTCCAGTCCATTGCCGCACAAGGTGCATCTCTCTTGAACGGTGCCGCCCAGATGGCGCTCTACGAAATGTCCGCACTCGAATTGTGCGTGTTCTTTAGCAGTATGCTGAACAAGCTGAAAACCAGCTGTTCTGCTGAAAACAGAGCGTCGCTGTGCCACAAGGGAATGAAGTGTGCTGCTGAACACACATACCAAATCAATCGCGGACGCGTAACAGAACACACAGCCCGCGCGAGCGGTAAATGAAGAGGTGGGAAGGGCAACACAGCAGTAGCGGAGAGGAACACGTTTTGTTCGAGGCGTGGACCACACAACAAGTTTCAGCTACAAGTACGCAGAACCTCCCTTGTTTTCAACCGGGTGTGTGTCTAGACTGGTGTCTCTCTTTCGCTGTCTCACCGTAGTGGTTGTCCCTGGTTGTCCCCGAGAAGGTGGAGATGGCTCCGGCGCGGGTGTCGGCCACGGCCTCCACGATCTCGCCCAGCTGGAGGCAGGAGTGTGTTACCGAGACGTGGTCTTCCTGCCTCCCTGCTTCCGCGGTGCCGGTAGTCATGCTTGTACGAATAGGAATGGGATAGGAACGGGTTCTCTCGCGGACAGCAGCAGCAGTTCACGTACCGCACCAGGCTCTCCCGAAGAGCAGAGAAAGCGCGCTAGAGGGATCCAGAAGGGGTATTTTCTGGCTGCTGTTGGCGACGGAAGGGAGACTAGACGTGGGTCGTCGTCGTCAACGTGGTTTCGGTAATAAGCGAAGGGTTGTTGGCTGGGGAAGTGGGGCAGGAAATCAAGTGGAAGTGATGTCACCCATTGTGGCTCTCTCGCTCGTACTTTTTCAAAAAAAAAAACATGACCGGCTCTCTCTGGGTGTGGTTCTTGCCCGCCGGCAGTGTCGTCGTCCATCTTGAAAAGACTGATCACAATCTGCATGGGATGGGGCCTCTGCTGAGCCTAGCACACCTTGATGACGCGCCTACTGGCTCCCTTTGCTTGCAGACGCAGCCAGAGAGCCAGAGCAAGAGGAAGAGCAAACCAGTGCAGATCGTACCCCAGAAAATGATTCCCTTTTTCCATATTACACCCGGAACAAAAATTGAAACGGATTTTTTCATTTTGGTGCAGGTCACGCAGTTCTCGACGAATACCTATGCATACCGGTAGACTCTACCGCCAACATCCCCAAAACACCACACAACTATATTCCCACAGGCAATTATCCTCTCCCATACTCCTCCACGCAGTTCCGCTTTAGACACGATCGTATGGGTGTGTGTCACATGTTTGGCGGCGAGTTTTAACGTGTGAAGCCTTTTGCGCACGCTAACGCCGGCAGGGTTTTCCACGGCTGATGCCGGTTTCAAAAAGATCGCGGAGTATTAAGGAACAAGTAGATATTGTTTTTGGATCCAAACCGTAGATCTTGTCGCGGTGAGACATGTTGCCATCAGCACAAACGCGAGGGCTCACACGAGGGCTCCCCTGCGCTCCCTGCGCGTACTGGGGTATGGGCGAGCTCTCACAGCTGCGCGAAAACCATACCACAGCATTATCGGGCCAACATACGAATCTCCAAGGAGAGGTGAAGAGGACAAGATAAAAAAAAATCAGCCTGTAAAGCAGTAACTCTGATCAGACTCGATGTATCTGCCTTCCGCTGGTTACGGCGATGGACAAATAATCTACATGCGCCTTACGCGCGTGTCGGTGAATATGGTTGCTGTCAATCTCGAACTACTGCTGAAGATAAAAATTAAAAAATTTTCCGCCTTCCCGTGGGTCGCTACACCCGCCTTCGAATACGCAGTTTGTGGTCAAGTCTATGGTGTGCTGTCTGTGTGCATCGGCGCGGGTTTGCCGACGACCGACAGATGTGGTCTCGCAAGACGGCACTACCTTAGCAAGCCATAGCAACCAAAGAACCTCCTCTCCGGCCCCTCTCTGTCTTCATCTGTACGTGGCCCGAACCCTAACCTCGTGCCGTGGCCATGTACGACGCCCAGCAGCCGTATCAGGAATCCAGCAGCTATGGCGTTGTCACAGGGTCGCGACCGGCTAGAGGTTATGGTTCTCGAGGCCCAGGATCTTCTGGCAGTTCAAGGTTAGCATCCAACTTGCGTACTGTACCACTGAACCTGCGAAGTCTGCGACTGCGAAAGCGCGTTGTCAACATGGAAGCCCGTTGTCAACATTGAAATGCAAGACGGTGTGCACTGCATGCAAAGTGTCTACTGTAGACTGCGGTTCTCATATTGTTCATGCTTATATTCTCATATAGTCCAAGAGCAGTGTTGGTTCATACTCAACGCGTAACATCCGACGCTTTTATTTTTTATTTTATATTTTTATTTTTTTTGTTCTTCACTTCAAATCAGCGCTCACAGCACTAGTGCTTTTTGTTGGGCCTCTATGGTTGCAGTCTAGCTTTGTACTTCGAAGTAGACTGTAAGGAGGAGGCGATAGCTGCCATTACCGACCCGTACGTCACCGACAACATTCTACGTACTTGTACACCAGGTCTGGGCACAACCTGAACAACACACATGTCAATAAATGCGTGTAAGCAAGCTACGTAAAAGTTGGCCACGTCTTCCAACGTATCTTGGCATTGTACCCAACGCTTGCGGCCATGAGATCATTGGTTCTTCCCGCGCTGCGAGCAGGGGGGGCAGCCAACCCGTACGTCTCGGTCGAGGTTGGAGACGAAAAGCGAAGGACGGCCGTCGAAACCGGCACGGTAAACCCCGCGTGGGATGAGGAGATTATGGTCTTCAGCGAGACCAGCCTATGTAACGTGAGAGACAGAAACAGATAGGGATAACTTGAAAGACAAAGTCTACGTTAGTCCAGAGAAAGAGGGCAGGCAGATACATAGACAGACAATGGGAGAGGCCTCTCATCTTCTTTGGGTGTTCTGGTACATCCACGTGCTAAACTTCGTAGTGTTGATGGGTGGTCAAGCGCTTGTTGACCCGTCTAGAGCGCAACTATCGAGTGTAGAAACGCCTCGCAAACCTGAGAGACTAGAGTGGCAGCAGAGGTTCGCAGGGAAGGGTTACAAGTATATGTGGGTCGATGACGACGCGGTCAAAAAAGCGTGGACTGAAACCCAGGTTGTGCTGTTACTTCTTGTTGCACCGACGGCTGTTGGTGCATGGACTTACAACAATACATAGAATCTCGCGTTTGATAACTCAACACAACTTCAATGTTAATCAACCGACGTGCAGCCATTGTCTGCCGTACCCGAAGGGCGCGGCCAGTCACGACACTAGAGGCCAAACAAATTGAATTCCCGGCATGGTCACTACCGACACAAGCAGTCCTCTCTCCGGTTACCTTTCAACCCATGTTCGTGCAACAAAACCAGCCTCTTCTCCGCCCATAGACCACCAAACAACGAGAAACGTTATTCTTTCTTCTTCCCAGATGGAGCACCTCGTTTTGATGGTGAAGCACCACGATCCGGTGGGGAGCCACAGCGACCGAGTGCTCGGCATGGTTATCGTAGACACGGCCACGGCCCTACAGGCACCCGGAATCTCGACGCAGGAGTGGTTCCCCGTTCGGAAGGGGCCCGGGATGAAGGCCGGGCATGTTCCTCAGGGCAAAGTCCACGTCAAGGTGCGTCGAGTGTCGCGCGAGCAGTCCGGAGGACGTGGGGGTGATCGGCAGTTGATGAAAGCGAGGACTACGCGGGTGATGGATAGATGTTTGCCTCCACGACGACCACTAACGGAAGAAACGTCCACTCGATACCCGACCGACCGTATCGCCGCACAGGTCACGTACTTCGTGGGTAGTAGCAGCTTAGACGACATGGAGAGGATCGATGTGGACGACGACGATGGCGATGACAACGACGATTTTAGCGCCAAGGTGAGCACAGCAACCCAAAACCTATCGCTCGCGCGTTCTCAATTTGGCGACAGACATGGGAGCGCTCCCCGAGACCCTTTCAGTACGCAAGCCTCTTGCCTATCCCCCTTGAATTCCATATTGTGGCAAACAACAGTCAGGCACGCTGGCGTGTACCCCTTTTCATCGTAAACACGTGGTTGGAAATTCTAGCATGCCCGGAAACCACGCACCCGCACACAAGACAATACCACAACTATTTTTCCCTCTTCACATGTGTGCCCAGCCAAAGCAACCGTCTTAAATCTCCCATGTCGTTGCTTTCGCATCTTCAATCCTGAGCCAAGTACAAAACCAGCTATCTCCTCTCTTGCCGTAGTTTGCATACACACACACAAACGTGCGGACGCACGGTCGCACAGCAGCCAGCATCCAAGCCGCAACACACCACACCCTCAACTTGATCCAGGCGCCGAACGTGGTGGCGGTGCTGGTGGAAGCCGCGCGCAACCTCCGGCCCCCCGGGTCCAAGTCCAAGGGGCTCTGCGACCCCCTGGTGGTGGTGAGGTGCGGGGGTAAGGCCAAGCAGTGCAAGGCGCTTAGGAGAACCAACAACCCGAAGTGGCACTTCCAGGCCCAAATAGGGAACGTCGACCCGCAGGAGCTCCTGCTCATCGAGGTACGCGTGTTTTCACCGCCGTCTAGCCCCATCGCCCCTAACGGCGAATGGGGATAGTGGTTGGCTTGGGGTATGTGCCGCGTGGACTATGTGATGGATAAAGTAGTCGCTTGCCCCTGTTTCTTCGCGGCATACTGGATGGAAGTTACCAGTCACTCCAATCCGCAGCGAGAAGCAATTTTGGACGACAAGCAACGGCGAAGTGTGTCGAAGACAACCACCTTGAATACATACCACCATTTTTTGGTCCTACAGAGCACACGACCCATTGAAAGTAACGCCCCGCACAACGAGATGCAGACTCAAAAATAAAACCCGACGGGGGCATGGAAACTCAGGTGATGCATAGCGGGACCATGTCAAACAAGCTTATCGGGCAGGCGAGGCTGACCATGGTCGAGATCGCGCAGGCCGGAGAGAGCCTCACGCGCTGGCTCCCGTTGCTAGACGATGGGTGAGCGATTTGTGATGGTCAGAATCGTCGACCTTCAGAGAGCGAGAGGGAGACCAGGATTGGGGTACGGTGTACACTTGTTCGTTGCTTGCCTTAGTCTTTTGGCCATCGACGACTCATTCAGCGGATTCTAGACACCACCATTTTCCCCTATGCGATAGACGCTGCCAACGTTCAGTCGCTCTTTATTTTCTAGCATGCGACGGTAAGCGACCAAGAACGGGGGGGGGGATCGGTGTGTGGAGAGAGACACTTATCGTCCGGGCGGTGGCGATGCCCTCGACAAGATTCAGTCAAGGGAGTGAGGCAAGCGTGTTGGGGGTACCGCCTTGGCGTACAAGGGCTTGGTCGAGGACGCTGGCTCTATGCCGCCGTTTGATGGCGGAACAGACAAGAAGTCAACCTCAGCATGATGCAGTGTCGGGGAGAGAGGCTGACGGGTGGTGCGGAGACGCCTCGGTAGTCTGGCCAACATAAACTTGAGTCTTACGGTCACAAAGAACAAAGGTCGTCTGTGAGGCCGAGAACTCTCGTTGAGACGTGCTGTGTGTTTCTTCTAGAGGTTTGGGGTGTCTCTATCGTTGATATCGCCAGCGGCAACGATCTGTTCCAGTTACTTTCTTGCATGCTGCTTTTCCTAAACCGGACACGAAAATTTGACGATCGCCTCCTTGTACGCGGCTGGCTTTCACCCTCCTGTCCCAAACAGCTGGGGCTTTGACGCGGTGGGGAGGGGGGAGGTCGTGGTAAACGCACGCTGGCACTTCGACAAGCACTACACCCGGAGACAGTCGACCATCCTCCCTAGCGCCTCGACGTTCATGGGGGGCGTCGCGAAAGTGAGAGGGGGGTTGGGTTGACGAGTCAGCGGGACGGGGGAGAGAAAGGCGCGGTGGGCAGGGGCTTAGAGCCGACTCTAGGGAAGGAGAGAAGGAGGGCGGAAAGGAGGGAGGGAGGGAGGGAGGGAGGGAGGGACGACAAGAGA